CTTTTAACGGAATTAGGAGGAGCCGTTCTCTAGGATTCAAAAGGATCCGAAAGGACGAATCATTAAGGAATATGATGATACTTCATTTCCTCAACAACATGACGGAAATTCCATTGAACGTGCTAAACAATTGTCGATGCCAGCTTTCTCCAGCGCAAGAACTCTAAAATAACAGAAATTCTGAGTTGAAAAGTGTCCTTCCCAGCGATAAATAACTCGACATTGTCCACTATTCAAAAGTTGACAGTCGTAAACGACAATCAGGCGTATCTTCTCCGTGTTCATCCTTCGAAATGACCAAAGCAACAATGGAAAAACATCCAATGAGAATAAAATTCAAGTGAAATTGTTGGTGATCTACGACTGGTGCTCCCCATCAGTGACCCCCACCTCTCTCAACGAGCTACCGGTTGGAATGCCGAGGGTAATAAGCTTGCAAAATCCCTTTGGACAATTATTACGTATATTGTTGAGGCAAAGGAAGAGGTGAGAAATATTCTCTTGCCTCACACGATGTACCATAAACCTCGGGGACAAGGAGTTTGTGACGCTGAATGAGTGATGTTTATTGTGATTATATGGGTCTTTTACAAGTAACCAATTTGTTCCTTTTTTAATGCCCCTCCTACTCTATTAGAATGAAAAACACTTCGTTTCAGGAGTATCTTCGCGTTAGATTCTCAAGCAATTTGTTAATTTTTTTTTTGCATTTGAAATTTACAATTCATGTCAGGAAAAATTGTTGCGGTAAAGAAATATTTTTCCCTCAAATTCTCGGGGAAAAGGAATTGAATGGACTCTCGGGGAATTGGAATCACGGAAAATTGTATGTACGAAAAAAAAACATGAGACTATTCGGCCGCGATATTTATGTATCGGATGGGGGATTCCCCGTGATTCCGAATATTTTCGAAATAGCGGAGAAAAAGAATGGGAATCAGGGAGTGAAGGGTGAAAAAGAAATTCAGGGTATCCAGCATAGGCGGAGGTTATCGTTTGGCATCATCACAAAATGCACTAGTACGGTCACAGCTTTACGGTACTTCGGGGCGCAGTTACGTTTTTACAGCGTCGTTTTCTGGGGAAAAGAGAGTGGGTCCGGGGGAGATGTAGGTATATGCGAATCGCTTTTCTGGATACAGAAGCATCACTGGGGGAAGGAGGGGGGGGGGAAGAGCTGAGGAGAACAGGACGGAACAAGTGCCTCTGGAGCAACACGAGGGGCTTTACTGGTGTCAATAAAATTAGTACAGGGGCCATTGACGTGAATTTTAAGACCTCGTGATTATTTTTTCAGTGAATTTTAAAGACTACAGATGTGTGGAGTAATGGGGATCTTATCTCGATCTGATTGAGGCGGACTTTTATGAGTACTAGGGGTTGATGGGGAAGTGTTATTTTGCTGGGTGAATTGAGGACATTTCGGTGTGGAATGCAGGGAGGTGTGGGTGAGAGGGAATTTTTAAGTGGAAAATTTGAGGATTTTGATGAAAATTTCTGGGTATTTTGCATCCGGAAAAATTGTGCATTCGAATCAAATGAAAATTTTTGTTTGAAATTTTTTATAATTACAGAAATAAACAATTCATTAATTTTAAGTAAAAGTTATTTCATTTCTTTTCCAGTTCGAAATGTAAGATAAACGAATTTGGGAAATTGGGAATTAAATAGAAATTTTTATAATCCCTAGTAGCTCACATCAATTGAAAATTGGTAAAAATAATTATCAATTAATATTTTCAGTTTTTCAAAAAAAAACAGATTTCTTTTGCTTCCGAAGGGAAGCATTATTTTTTTCAAGTAAATTTTCATTAGTCAAGAAGTAAATTTTCTAAAAAAATTGGCATTCCAACGTCTATCCTTCAAAATTGAACACAAAAATATAAAAGTGAATAAATTGAATGGTAAGTGTTTGATAGTGACACGCAACCGTGACTGTGAAAGATCATAAAAAAAGTATTAAAAATTACAAACTTGTTGAGTAAATTTGTTCCACCATAACAGCAATGAAAAATGTGGATATAATGGAATCTCGGATAGCGGGTAAATCTGGAGGGACAGGCACTCGTACATCGTAAAATGATGCACTGCCCCCGGGGTTTTATAGTTTATACTGGAACTGTCGTGCACTCGTGCGTGCGTGATTGAAAGGGGAGGTGAAATTTTACAGGGATCACGACTTTACGAGCGGAATATTAGGAGCCTATGTCCACTGAGTGCCCCTGTAAATACGGAGCCATTCAAATTTATCCGATAATTACATCCTGGAAATTTTAGTTTTCTTCCCTCAATTATCTAAAGTCAATTGAATTGATTAAATTCGGTTAATGTCGGGAGTAATTTTGATCGGGAAAATTCTCACGGGTGCGGGGAGGGCCCGACCTGCACGAAGAAATCCGAGAAATGGAAGGATGATTGATGATGCGTTCGGGTCGAGTGTCATCAGAGGACTTGGGGTTGTTGTCGCTCGATGGTTCTTAAATACATCATTGCAGCGCTAATGCAATTCTTTGGGATTGTAGGACGAGGGGGAGGGGAAATGATTGCTGGAGGTAATGAGGATAATGGAAATGTCATTCTTCATCAACAGAGAGAAGAAAAAATCCAGTATTAATATAATATTAATTTTTATATATATTACTAAGGAAATAAACATTTATTTATTAATAAAAAAGTTGATTCAATTAGTTAAATTGATTAATTTGTCATTTTTTTAAATTTACTGTTTAAAATTAATTTTTATATGAACCTTGAAGTATTAAAAAGGTTTATTTTCGTGAAAGCGTAAAAATCGGAATATTCACATTTAGTCCTTCGGGCGGCAACCAGAAATTTCCACAAAGAGATTTTGAAAAATTCAGCAGAACTCCCAATGAAATCGATGCCATAAAATAATAAACTATTTTCTTTCCTTCTCCTCCTCGAAAATTAATTTTTAACCTCAAATATGAAGCGAAATATTCGGAATTCATGAAGAATCAAGTGAAAAATTCAGAACTCCCGGCGCACGTAAAAAATTAATCCTCCTGGTCCCGGAAAAATAATCCCACGGGTGTAATGCATCAGATATTACTGTCCATTCGATACGTCGGCCCCTAATAGCCCGAAACCAGCCGTCCCCTCGGCGAGAAAACCCCCGATTTTTAAAAGATTAAAAAACTCGCGAGCCCGAATCAATGACCGCACTATAAAAATACAGAAGAGAGGGGAAAAAAACGAGAAGAAAATGAAATGGCCCCGCGCGGACAGATTGGAGAGATACGCGAGGGGAATATCCCCAGGATGAGACTCATGATCAGGATTGACTCGAGGATGATAATCGGATGGGACACGAATTTCCACTTTGCCAACCGCGTCCCGCCGACAACTCTACATTATTCCCGGTTCTCCCCGCGTTTCCATTTCGTATCTATGACTGGACACACCCCGGTAACTATTTTATGAGATTTATCCGGTTCAAATTTTTCCGCGAGATAAAGAATTAGAAATTATGAATCGAACATTTGAATTTTCATGCTTGACCCTTATAACCCTTCATTTTTACTCTCAGAAAAAATAAAAAAATTTTTGTATTAAAATATTCAAGAATTGAGACTAAAAAACTATAAAATGAATTAATTCAATTTTACTTGGTCTGAGAAAGAGCTTTCCTGTCATCAAGAAATTGTCGTCGTCTTTGGGACGAACACAAAATTTCTTGACTAAAAATTTTTTTTTAACGAAAGATATTTTGCTCTTGAGAATCTTCCACAAGTTTCTTGAAATAAGTAAAGACGTACTTCTTGCACCGAAAATCCCTGACGAATCAATGCCAGCGCACACTGATGAGCCCCTGAAGCCCCGATTTCGCCGCAATAAATCCCAAATGTTTATCAGACGATTACCCGAGAAAACGCGTGTACCCAACTAACAGTCACGAATGCCCAGACCCTCGTAAGTATCCCGTTCTTTTAACGCAAAGGACCAAACAACCGGTAAACTCGCCGAGTGTTTATGACCGGACCCGTCGTAAAACAACCCAAAATCGCCTCAGTTTCGGCCATTGCCCAAGTTTTCCTCACGACTTCTGTTTTCCCTCTTTCAGTTTTCTCCACCAAAAAAAAACAAGAGGGCATCATCACACCATTCCAATTCACCTAAACAACCCAAGCGTATAAAAAGAGATACGAGATTTTCATGAGGTGGGACGCATGTTGTTGAACCATAAAACCTCGTCTGATCACTGCTACCAATTATCCCACCGTTATCCAAGTGTTATCCAGTCTCCTAACCTCTCAACCCCTTTTTCCCCATTTCGCTACTCAAGATCCCTCAACTCCGGCTACCCTCTAGTTTTACTGCAAACGAAGTGATTCCCACGTCGTAAAATGAAGGAAAGAAGGAGATTTGAGGACAAATTTTATCCTCAGACGAATCGGTTAAATGTCTTGAAGGTATCATTGGAATCATATTAAATTTTCAATCTATCCGCTTATCTGTTACTGTCATTGCTTAATGATCATTCTACGTCTGTCCAAATTCACTCAGTTTTATTCTGATTAGAAGGAGGAAGTGGGAGGCGGTAATTTGACAGACAACACGTGAAAGCTAATGGCTCTGGTTGAGTTTCGATCATTTCAGTGATTTTATTATCCCCCGGGTAATGAACTTGTAAAACGTCGAACTTAATAAAGAAAATGAAGAATGTATCATCATTTGATTTATTCAATTGAATCATTAATTCGAGTTACAATGAATTGATTATTTCAGCGTTCGTTTTATTTTTGTAATGGCTTTATTAACAATATTAGTGAGTGATTTATTTAGGAGCAATTGACGGATCAATTTCGATTCCAAGTGGATGGAAAGGGTAATGTCGAGTCGAACCTATATGAACTGATAACTGGTGCCAAAAGCATTTGGATACTCGGAATATCCGCATGCAGGAAAGTTCAATGGAGCGGCGTAAGTATTAGTGTCACGTGTATAAGTGTCTGGTGGTATTACTGGGCTCGACTTACCGGCTCTATTGCTCTGATCTATCATGGGTTGAACGATTCTACGCCTCGCGTTGATAAACCTGTAACAGAAATATTTAGAGTTATTATCATCAGTTGGGTGCTATCTTGCATTCATATTTCAACAGTTGATGATTTTAATTGTCTGGAAAATCGGTGATGAGAGCTTCTGGTGATTTGTGACCCGTTGATGGCTCCTGATGACGACTGTCAAGTCTGAACATCATGAAGTGGCAGGTATTAATGTACTCGATAACATCCTCAAGTATTTTTAATGCTCATTAATTAGGGGAGGAGAACGACCAAGACATCGTTATCTTGCTTGATCTCAACTTTTTCCAAATTCTGGTGATCGTTATTTTCCTGATCCGTTTCAATTGACGGACTGATTAATCCTATTTCTGACACACTTCTGCACATATCCCCTCACCCCATCATCAGTCCCATGTTATTGGGCTTGATAATAAAGGAGAAACACTCGTACAATGTCGAATGGGTGGTACGTCATTAGCTCGGATGAAGAAAAGCGCGAGAGAAGGGCTCACGGGTGAGTGCTTATCGAACAATAGAATCGTGGTCTGTTTTGTGGTGTTAGCAGAGTTTGGAACTGTGGTTCACGGGTGTCTCGAAGGGGTAGAAAACCTAGCGAGAGAAGGCGGAGGGAATGAGATAACAGAGTATAGAGAAAAGAAAATAAGAAAATGTTGGGGGGAGGGGGTGGTATGTCAGCCGACGTCAGCGTCGCGGCGCCCTAATGGGCGCAGACGCCGGAAGTGATTGGGTTTCTGCTCGACTGAGTCGAGTATAACCTCATACCATGGAGTCAGCCCACTTGCACGCGCATTCTCGGGGGGGATGAGGCGAAGATGGGGGTGGCTCAAGGGGGTCGGAAGGGGGGGCGGGGGTGAGATGGGTGGTGTGGGGTACGCAATGGGAAGTGAGACCCTTGTTTTGCGGCACATCTTTCTTGCTTAGTCTCACGCCTGGCCGACTCCCGAGAGAGTCTTATGAATAATAATTATTAAACTCCTCTTTCGCTTCGCTTTTCCAGGGGCTTGAATGTAGCTAGTGGTGCAGGGAGGTGATGGTGCGAGGAGAGAAAAGCCGAAGTAAGTCGAAGATCTTGTCTAACGGGGTGGTAAAGAAACTTCGGATGGGATTAGTGGGGCTACCGTGAATTCAATGAGTGAATATTTTCCCGGATTTTTGATGAAATTTAATTTCAACTTCTGAATTTTGATGTATTACTCGAGGAAAAATGGAGATACATTATCGTTTATTGTTATCTTCAGTCAAGGCCTTGGATATCATTGTAGAAATTCCGCTCTACTCAGCTTTCCTCCCTTTCCCAGCCTCGGGTGTTCTCCTAAAGCGCTCGTCGTTTCCCCTTTGGCGGCGTAGGCGGCATGTCACAGCCAGCTGACTCTCGCCCCCTTTCCTCACTTCACCTACTCCTTTCCACCCTGGGCTTCCACAGTGTAACCCACCCCTCCCCCCATGAGTGAAATATCGCTTGAACAATGGCGTACCACCATACTTCTCTGATTCTCTGTCTCCCTCTCACCGGTTGAACTTTCATTTTCTTCCTTTCTTTTTTAGGGGATAGAAACGGGTAGAAAAGACAGAATTCAACTCGCCGACTGGCCAAACGGCTCACACACTCGACAAGAGACCCAGGGAAAAAAACGAAGTTTGGAAAAATATCGTCGCATCTCGCTAACTCCCGGAAAAACTTAACCCGGCGACGCGATAAAATTTTACAGTTGAAATAACTCGTCTGTCTTTTATTTATTCCATCATCACACTCTTCAATAATTTTCACTCCATAAATTCCCTGAATTCTCTCTTCCATTGTTCCTTAATTATCGGGTATTATAGGCTCATGCCCTTGTCGTATTCTACTATCGCTTTCGGAACACCATGACAAGCATTCTTTTTGTGTCAAACAGCAGTGATCAGCATGATGCAACACTTTTATTCCGCCCTCCACCTTTCATTCTCTTCGTTTTCATTTTTTCCCCCTTTTTTAATGCAGTTTTCGTTGATACCCGAGGAGTGGCCATACAAAGTGGCGCCATATAAACTCGAGCGTTAAGGAAAGTGCTGAAGAAAGAAATACGTCGAGTCACTCTACGTGTTTTGAACGAGAGTAGAAATGAATTGGGGTGGGAGGGGGGGGGGAGAAAAGTAACAAAACACAGCAGTAAAATGGAGTAACAAGAAAGTGGGGCTTTGATATCACGAATCATTGACTCCTGATAATAACACGATGACTTGTCTCAGCCGATGTTGTTTTCTCAGCAAAGAACATTCATTCGTTGATGGTTCCTGTTGATGATTATCAAGTGTGAACATCATGGAGGGTCAGGTCCTGATATATTGAAAAACGTCCTAAGGTATTTTCAATATTTATTAATTAGATGAGGAGAACGACCAGAAAAACAGAATCTTGCTCAAGCTCAACTTTTCCCAAATTCTGCAAATCATTCTAATAATTGACCATTGATTAATTTTATGTTCCTGATCTACTTTAGCTCATTGTTTGGAACCCATTACACAGGTTTACCTCAAATTTCCTCTCTGCTAATAGCTAATTTTGAAATTGGGGCTTTGATGATATTGCGAATCACGGACTCGTGACATTAAAATAATGACTTGTCCTAGCCGATGTTATTTTCCCAGCGAAAAACATGCATTTGCTCTCGAAAAATCGGAATAACCCACGAGTGAAGCAACACGTCTGCCATAGATAACTTTCGTGCACGTGGATAGAACGGGGTTGAGCGGGGGTTACATTGGTTATGTTTGGTGGGAGAAATAACGATGATTACTGTCGCCCGGGTATATAGAACATTTACTCCCGCGGACGTGAACACGAGGCCGTTTGCAATTATCGGAGAGCTTCCATTAGTTAACTGCAGTCGATACGTGGCCAAACTCTCTCTCTCTCTCGCTTGCACTTCAGCTGCAGGCGATGGGGTGTTCCCCACCCCTTCTCACCCGCATCAAAACATCATTACTACATGGGAACGAGAGAGCAAGCAAACTCACTGGGATAATCAATTTCACTGTGGCCTTGCTAATGCATTGAAGTCGTTGGAAACAGTGATGTTTTGTGTTTTGCGAGTGGAATTGCGGCTCAAGTGACATTTGTTGAACGTGAAAAGATGATGACAAGGAATTCACGGGTGAATGAAGGGCCTCAGGTGTCGTCACCTCTCCATAAGATCGTCAGAGTAATCCAAAGTGCATGAGTGGGTGTCGGGCAGTCTGCTGCGCCTGTTAAATCTCGACTAATTTCTGCCACGACGGGAATAGACATCTCTGTCCTCCATACCCCTAGAAAATTTGGACATATCCGAGGGGCCGAGGGTTAAGAGGGGTAACAGGCAGGCATGGAAGTTATTGGGCTCACAGCTGTCGCAAGCGTCGACAGCAGTCGATTGTCAACTGGCCACCATCGTCTCCTCGAGAGTACCCATGGCCTCTCTCGGGGTCAGGCTCATCGCAATGATCGCTTATACACCCACTCTGAACACCCTTGTGTACCTGTGACCCTTCGTCCTAGGCGTACTACGGCGTCAGCTTGTACCAAGTCTCTTAAACTCCATCGTCACGGACGGTATGTACCAACTGGTGACGCCTGTTGTAAAGTATCTCCCCTCAGTCTCTGTTCACCCTTCGCGCCGGATACTTTTCTTCGTATTAACGCGGCATGATATGTCGAGGATTGCTGTTATAGAGTGAAAGATTGAGTGATTATTGCTGGAAAATGAGTCTTCGCTGACGTGTTCTGTTGATGATTTTCCTTTGTCAACTTCATGAACTGTTGAATACGGATGGATATGACACTATTTTAAGATTATTCTGAAGAATGATCATAAAAAAGTGAGGATTACGATGAAAAGGCTTGTTCTTCAAATTATCAGCTTCTCAACATTACAATGATTGTCAGCTTTGTCTACGCTCCATGATGATGATTCTCCGTTCTAATTTTCATAAATATCTTTGTCTGGACGAGTATGACAATAGCCTAAGACAGTTTCATTTAAAAATCATTAGAAAAGGAGAGTCATCAAGAATACTCATGTTCTTCAAATCTTGCTTTAAAGCGTGCATCTCAAAAATTTGAAAGGAGATGCACTAGGTCCCATTCTCTCTAGTTTTATCCACCAACTATCTTCCCTAAAATTATTGCCACATCCTCAGAGATTACCAGGGGCTCCAGAAGGAAGAATCATCCGTTCGTCATCCCAAAATGGCCATTCAGCTTTTTCACATGGATCTGAAAATCGTCTCGAAGCGAGCTTTGTAGATGCCCGTCGGGCGTCATCCTCCCGCACCATCATTCCGGAAAAACCCATCTAAACAGTGTTATTTAGATTCAAGAAGATGGGCACTTGGGTTAGATAACGGCCATTTAGATTGACCGAGCTGACGCCAGATGGCCCTTAAGCGTCGCTTTTATTTCATCTCTCTCGGATCTTGTAATCTCGCCCAGGATCTCCTGGACCACATTTCTTGCCCCACCTCAGACAATCCAACGTCTTCATACTAAGATTCAGACACGAAACATCATATTGTTTTTGCAATATCCAAGAGGAATCCGAAGAAACCGTAAAATCTGAATTTTTATTGACGCAGAATAGAATAAACGCTTTATGATTTAGAGTGAACCGTGAAATTCACTCAATTTTTTACCCGTTCGGAAGGGCCACTGAGTGCCTCTGGATGCCGGGGTAAACTTTCTATTCCCCTTTTTGTTCTGTTACCGGTGAATTTCGCGCACGGAATTTGAATCCGCTTGTAATAAAATCTCCAGCTTTATGCGACAACTCGAAATACCTACAGATATAGAAGGCCTGTACCTGCGTGGATGTGGCCCGGAAAAATATAAATATAAAAACAAAAAAAAATGGCTGACGGTGAGACGGGTACTGGAGAGTGTGCTCGTGCCAGGCCAGCCGCCATGTAAATAATGCTGCAAAATCGCTACCAGATTTTTTTTCTTCATTCTATATTTATAGTTTTTTGTCCCTGTCTTTTTCTTTTTTGCGGGCTC